ATTTGCTCCTTCCAAACTTCAGTTGTGAACTAAGAGACTGCCTGTAGGAAAGTTTGTTTGTTTTTTTCTTCCCAACTTCCTTTCTAAAAATCAAGCTTTGGGTGCATTCTGGGTGTCACCATCATAGGACAATAGCCCCCCTGTCTCCAATGTATTAAGCTGGCCATATCTACTGAAGTGCTGTTAGGTGTTGTGTAAGTGGCTTTGCAAATACAGTGGTACCTCTGGTTATGAACTTAATTCGTTCTGGAGGTCCATTCTTAACCTGAAACTGTTCTTAACCTGAAGCACCACTTTAGCTAATGGGGCCTCCCACTTCTGTTGCGCCACCGCCACACAATTTCTGTTCTCATCCTGAGGTAAAGTTCTTAACCTGAGGTTAGCAGAGTCTGTAACCTGAAGCGTCTGTAACCTGAGGTGTTTGTAACCCGAGGTACCACTGTATGGCTTCAGGTACCTCTTTGAAATGTGGTGGTCCAGACACTTATCAAAGCTCTCCTTTTCCCTTTGCAACTGTCTTATAGTAGGCAGGAATGTTAAGCTCTGCCTATCATGGCTGGGTAATTCTCATCACCTCCATTGCCAGTCTTATTAATAAAACATTGAATGATGATTACCTTGGGATTTGCCAAAACTAAAAAGACATTGAGATAAAGTTTGATTTTTTTTTTTAGAGTGACAGATGATAATGAAATTGTAACAGAGAGTTCCATTAACCTCACTGCTGCTGTGTCATACGATTTTGCCTCCCCTCCCCCCCAAAACACGTTATTTCTGAGTGATTTGGTATACATAAACGTAGTGAATGAGACACAGCATAACAATGTTCTCTAAATGACAAATGCACTTATAAGAATGAAGGTGAAGAAAACTAATTAATAGAGCACTTTTTTTTTGGTCAAATCACACATTAATATTGATGGGATGTAGAACAAAATGAAGTACAGTAGTCAAATGGTTTAGGCTTTTTACCATATCCAAGGTCGTTTTTAGTTTCCATTACAGGTCTGTTATACTTGTGCAATTCCTCCTCCTCCTCAAAAAAAAAAGAAAAAAAAAAGGTAGAGAATGGTCCCACAGTTCTGTCCATTGCATATTTGGGACTCTGCATGGAATGTCTATCTCACATGTGATGCTGTGTCTTGGATGGATGGGAGGAGATAAGGAACATAAAAAGTTCCTTGCCAGATCAGACTAAAAGCCTATGAAGTCTAGCATCCTGTTTCCCACAGTGGCCAACTAGATGTCAATGGGAATCCCAGGGCTACCTAAGGCGAAGGATAAGATGGTGCCCTTCCTCAATGCATGTACAGAAGACATTTAGACATCCCTGGTGACAGGATAGCAGAGCTCTGTCCTCCAACACCTTGCCTCCACTCGCCTCATCTGCCACCCGAGACAGCTGCCTCACCATGTCTAATAGTAGGGTCAGCTCTGGGGAAGCCTGAAATAGCCCTCTTCCATTGTTGTTCCCCAGTGACTGACATTTAGGAGCTCTTCTTCTTTACCATATAAACTGGAGACCAGCTCTATGACTTCTGATCAGCCAGACCATACTCCTCAAGTCTACATTATCCTTTGATATATAGCTAGCTTGGTTCTCCTAGCAGCAGAAGTGCTTAAAGTAAATGGGAAATGCTTCTTGAGGCATAATGACAGCATCTCCTCTGTCCCTTTGTTTTGACAGCAAGCAATATTTCTGAAGTCTGCAGGGAACTGTTCTTCAGGGAGGAGTCAGTGGAGGTATACCATTTCAAAATTGCTGCCAATAGGAATTAATATAGCTTGGGACATCCTCTGCCCATGCTCTGCCAAGGCTACCACTGCCAGTGACAGTCAGAACCGCTATTCTATTAGTTGGCTTTGCTTACAGGGACTGTAATGACAAAGGTGCCCCCTTCTGCTTTTCATTAGTAGTTATCAATCTTCATTGGAAAAGGCAGCAGTTTCCTTGTGAACTCTCTGGGGGCAATAAGATCAAAATACCCTTTCTGCGAGGATCAGCTTGGAGTTCTTTATGTTGCTGTCACACCCAGGTCACTACTGCATTTATAACATGAAAAATTGTAATTAAGAGCAGAAAGCTAAACATCACCTGGATGAAGCAGGAGAAATTGAAGGCAATAGCGATTGATGTCTCCTGGCTCTGCTGGGTGTGTTTTATGTTCATTTTTTGGGCCTATTTTAATTTCCTTGATAACAAATTAAAAACCAATTCCCGCATTCTAGCTCAGCGATGACTTGTCCTTTACTGTGTATTATGATAACACTATTGATCACACCAGTTTAAAGCATCCGTCATTTTGAATAATTAATCTCTAAGCACGAGTTAGCTTCAGACATGGATGCTATCATCAACCATCTTTTCAGACATCTTTGCATCAGGGAAAAGCTGACTGCCTGACTGCCGAAGAAGCGTAAACACACAAGGCTCAAGGAAAAAGCAAGACAGAAACAGCTGAGCAAACACCCACGCCACATTATTATTATTATTATTAATATATCCATTTAAATGTGTCCCAAGGCAATGTACAAACATATCATAGAACAGCTAAAGGTAGATTTAAAAGCAATACAAAATGGACACCTAACGCAAACATCCAACTTGTTGAAACAGGATTGGTTTTGGAAAATATGGGCTGTGGGCACTTTTTCTATCTTAACAGGGATACCGTTCCAAAAAGCAGGGGCAGCATTCCTAGTAACTAGAGATTTATTCATGTTAAAGGAGATAATATAGCTCAACATGGCTGTCCACCTGAGTCCTCTCCACAGATCTGCGACCCTATGCTCGACAATCAAGGTAGTGGTTGGGAGGGTGAGGTGGACAACACAGAATTAAGGAACATGGTGTCTCTGAGCTCATGTGAGTCTAGGGATTTGCTTTCAGCAACAGTCTGGGAGTTCACAGTCCTGGTAGGTGCTCCTACATGAGAGCCTCAGTGGGCAGAGCTCTGACTTCTGACCTCCTTGTTTCTGCTTCCCAGGTGCTCCCTTATCTCCATTCCTAATACTAATTACTCATAACCTTGAGAATTGCCCTCCCCTGAAAGTCAAAGAGATAAGGAGTCTGGTGGTAGCATAACTCAGTTTTGGAGTTCTTGGGCTCCATGCTCATTTATAATCCATATGTTGCATTTAATTTTCAAAAGTAATCCCATGTCCTGAATGTACTTATAAATACTGGAAATGTATTGAATTCTGATTTAAAAAATAAATAAATTTAGAATGCAGCATAGTAAATGAGGGATGACAGATAATTAAACGAATTCAACAAAAATTAAATAAATAGATAAAGGAATTGGAAAATAGAGTGAAGAGACTGACAACATTTAGCATCTCCCAATTTCATTGGTGAAAACAGCAACTAGCACATCTGATGCTTTTGTGTCTCAGCCTTTGCAAGACTGCACACAGTAGGTTATTGTCACTCGCCATCCATCTTTAACAAGCTGTGAGTTTTACCTGAAATATCACTGCCTTATTAGTCTACAGTGGTACCTCGGGTTACAGATGCTTCAGGTTAGAGACGCTTCAGGTTACAGATTCCGCTAACCCAGAAATAGTACCTTGGGTTAAGAACTTTGCTTCAGGATGAGAACAGTAATCGCGCAGTGGTGGCACGGCAACAACAGGAGGCCCCATTAGCTAATGTGGTACCTCAGGTTAAGAACAGTTTCAGGTTAAGAACGGACCTCCGGAACAAATTAAGTTCTTAACCCGAGGTACCACTGTATACTACGCAGATACTTTTCTTCAGAGCTAATTATAAGAAAAATCCACTGGCAGGTGCCTTTTTCTTTTTCTAACAAAACACATTCTTCAGAAACACTGCATTTTGCATTCTGTTCATGACCAAGAACTTAGAAAATCTTCACTCAATTATGTAGAAGAAAAGTAAATATAGTCACTTGCGTTGAACTAATTAAATGCTGAATAACAAACACACACATATATATTCGATGCATGTCGTGGGCATGATTCTGCAAGGCTTAACAGGACCATTTTCCTGCTTAGAACAATTTTTATGTGACTTGACTACCGTGAAAAGAACTTGACATGCAGCATAGCAAAAACTCCTCAATAAATAATCCCAACTAGGCTAACAGAAGTGCATTCAGATCACAGCTGAACTCTTACTAATTAATTATAATGATAGCAATAAAGCATATTTTTTCCTTGGATGTAAAAGTGTGCAAAACATTTCTTTCTTTTAAGGCTACATTATATCTTGTCTCGCATGACAAGAAAAAGTCCGCTCTGATTTGAGTCTCAATGTCACTTTGATGCCTACTTTAATGAGGCTGGTAGACATTAATCTCCCACAGATATACAGTAGAAGAGTTACAGAGTGATCCTATCCTTGAGTTAAGTCTGCTGAGCGAGATATGATTGCTCCTAAGGTCAAAAAATGATAGCATTGCTCCTATGTGCCAGTGCAGCAATAGCCTTGCCTCTGTGATGAAGCCAACAGTTCACTGGGCACAAAATGGCCAAGGTGGGGCTATGGCAAGGGAGGAGCAGAGCTTAAGTGGGACCCTATGACAGCTCAGCGTTCATTCCCACCCTCTGTAGCACCAACGAAACAGGTGGTGTTAAGTAAAACATTCTGGGGGATGTCCAACTATGTCATACTCTTAGCATAGACCAAATTAAATCAATGGACTTAAATTTCTTAATTTCAGTGATTCTACTCTGAGTATGTTAAACCCACAAGAATTAAGGGACTGGATCTCATTCTCCTATTGGAGTCATTGGAAACCTGAAGGTAACTGCCCCTATAACCTCCTCTTCCCCCACCATCCAGCTCCTCAGTTCCAGATAACTCAAGTAGCCAGTCATGGCACAGCACTGGGAGAATACAAGCCCCAGCAAGAGAACATACTTCTTACATATCAAGGTACCTAGATATATATCATAGAAACATAGACTCAAAGTATTGTAGAGTTGGAAGGGACCATGAGGGTCATCTAGTCCAACCCCCTGCAATGCAGGATCCACACCCCCCCCTGCAACATGGGGCTTGAACCCACAACCCTGGGAATAAGAGTCTCATGCTCTACCATGTGAGCTATGAGGGTGGGTTATGCAATTGTTTCATTCACACATGAACAAAAATGAAGTGTAATGACTAATAGACAAGTTGATTTCATCACTTTCAGGGAGACAATTAATTTATGTCACGGTTCTACAAACCCTTTAATTTTCATGTGTGAACTTTACTATTTCATTTTATGTAATTCCTTAATACACAATTTTATTTAAAAAATGAGAGTAATCATACAATTGAATGAACAGTAGGAATTGTGTCAAGTTCTCAAGTGCCAAGAGAATTGCTACTGCACTGCTTTGTTCAGCACATAAGACTGAACGTTATTGATTATGAAATGGGGATTCCAGCATTAAAGTGCTGAAAGATTACCTCACTGCTGATGGCTTACCCTAATATGAGATCACGCATCAGAAAGAAACCAATGAATAAGTACAATAATGTCTCCAACTAAGTCATATTCAGAGTAGACCCACTGAAGTTAATGGACAGGGAGCAATCCTAATGGAAGCCATCTTAAGGTAATCTGGTGTAACGTATGCTGTTCAGGAACTCCTGGGAAGGGTAAAGGCTAGGTAAGCTTGCCCCAGCCCAGCAGAGAGAAAAGAAGGAAGCAAAATCCAGAGAGCTAGCTCAGCCAGCATTACTATGGGGACAAGCTCACCTGTTGACACACACAGGAGAGTTTTTGAGTGCCCTTTTTGAGTTGTGTATGAACGGAGAGACTTCTCAGAGACAGCTTATCGGAAGTGGCTTGAAATTGCCAGCACAAACAAATAGGGGACAGAGCACACAAATGGTGCCCCTAGCAATGCTCCCAGAGGCAGCCAATCAGCACACACTGTGCGCCACATACTCCAGGCATGCCTGCCACAAGCTCCACCAATCCCACAGCCACATGCAACAACAGATGATTGGGTAAACAAGTGCACATGAAGTACACCAGCACACCCTGTGTCCCACTTCACACAACCCACAAGCAACCCGAAGATACGCCTGCAGACACCCCAAAAACATGCAGTGTACATGGGGAGATGCCAAAGGACAGCTTTATTGAAAGCACCCTACTGAAAGCTGAGTCCTGGCTGAAATGGGATGGGGGAATTATACTGGCAGATCACAGCTGAGCTGGGAACCAGCTGGCTGATCCAGAGGTCCACTGGATCCTAGTTCACTTATCCCAGCAGACCTAGGATTAAGATTGCACCTTAAATTAGTAATGTTAATTGATTTCTATGGTTCTTCTCTGAGTATAATCTACAGAACAATCCTAACTATAGGAAGCCAGTGTAATGTATTCTGGCATAAATTACCCCTATTCTAAACTCTGCTCAAGAGCTTCTGGAGGGGACGCTGCTGGCTGCTCTGGCAGGTGTACATGGGCTTGAGTTTTAAGGATTGGTCTCTAGGTCACATGACTGAGATGAACAGGGTTTGGAATAGGTTTAAGTCTCTCTTTACCCTGTGCTACCCCCACCCCTCACACAGAATGCCCCCTTTCTAGGATTTCTTCTGCATACCTGCCAGGTGCCCCAGAAAAAAATGGAATATCGCCATTTTTATGCGCAATATCACAGCGACCATTTTTCTTGCAGCGATCTCTCACATTGCTCTCTTGCCCTGAAAAAAGTGCTTTTCTGGAGTGAGAGCAAGGTGCAGGTCACATGACTCACCCAGGAGCATGTCCTGGAAGACACGTGTCCTGGTTTTGGGTCTGAAAACATTGAAAGGTATGATGCTGATGTAAATTCCACCAGTTTAAATTCCACCCTGGTTGATGCAGGGTGAGGGCCGACCTACCCCATGATATCTGAGGTTCAGACAGCAAATATCAAGATCTGTTGAATTCGAATTCTCTCATCCTGGTGAGATCTTGGGTTTCGTTAGTGCTGTTAGTTGGATACAACCCATTATATGTACAAGTATATATTTGCATTTATTTTATAGTATCCATTGCCACATTGCTGATAAAGCGAGGAAGGCTAAGAGGCCCTGTGTTCACTCGGCAAAATTTAATCTAGTTTATAAGGAGCCAATACATTTCATTCATGTCAATTACCTACCAGAGAGAAGCCAGATGGCACAAATAATAGAAAACTATTGATAGTGGCAAGGAATATTAATTAAACATTTTAGATAAGATCTATAGAGTTCAAACAGTGCATATCCTGTAGTTCTACAGGCATATAGTTTAACCAAAGACAAATATATTTATATGTCAACAGGATTATTTAGACGCTTTAGCCCAATGGATATTAAGGTTTTGTGCTTGTGTTGGCTCTGCAGAATGAAGCATACAAAATTACATGCAGACTGTGCTCTATTTTATGAGGCTGAATACTTATTTTAAAAGGTATCGACAACTGTTAATTAAATCTTACATGATTTTTTACTTAGGGTTAGGAGTTCAGAACAAAATTAAATGCATCGTATGTGAGCCAATGGGCAACTCTGGAACTTTTCTGGCATACCTGCCCATTGCAAATACATACACACGTTGAAAAATTGATGCTATTGCTCAGGGGAATGCCCAAGCACAATTTGATGATCACGAGAGGATGCAGCTGGAGAGGGTAATTGGTAGGGGTGTGCACTGGATTCAGATTAATCCCAATATGAAAAATGTCCTGGCTATCCAGGAACTGTGATGGAACTTGAAATGACTTCCCAGCTACCTACCACTGCTTCCAGGTAAGCCCGTAGCTAGTGAGGTGGGTGGGAGGGAACTAATGTGGGGAGGGGGCATCAGATGGTACTTGGCTAAGGTGGCCCTGACTCCTAAGGTAGAAAGCCAGGAACCCAACATGCCAATTGCACATGATACGACATGAATACTATATGAAAACAGAGAATTATCTCTGGTAAGTGAAATGTCTAGATCAGACTTGAACCATCACAGATCAAGCACTACACGAATCACACGCCCTCTCTCTTGCAAACTCATCTATACACCAAAGAAAATGTCTTCTCACAAGTTCTCAGTTAGATTTATTTCCAAGTTAATGTGCATAGGATCACACTAAATTTGTTGTGTCACTAAATAAAATTATACACCTTTCTAAGTGTGTTTTGGATGGGGCTTCTAATTTTCAGATTCTGAATGGCACATCTGCCTGTTTCCTGAGCTGTACAGCATGTGGCCCATGTATATCTGGTTCTTCCATTATTCCCTCATACAGAAAATACAGTACAAAACTGAAACAATGGTGATTACTCAGCACCTATTGGCGTAAGGCGTTGCAACTTGTAACTATTTAACTTTTGTACCATAGCCGTTTCCGGGAGGCAGCTCAGGGTTGCAGCGATCCTTCCGTGCACAAGCGTGCTGTTGTTAGTAAGAACAAGAAGTGTTTCGTTTTTAGTGAAAGGATCAAGTAGCCTCTGGTGGGTGGGTGGAATCATTAAAGATTTAACAAGAGGAAAATAGGATATGCTGCTTTCTCTTTAACGCACTCCTGAAATTTTAAAAAACTCACTGAAACAAAATGGAAGGTTCTCTGGAAGAGGAGGATGACAGCTTTACTAATATTTCCTTGGCTGATGACTCAGGTAAGGGAACATAGGTGGCTTGTTATAAAAATGTACGACCTAAGGGCTAAAAATATATTTAGCCTTAGAGGATATCCATTCTGTTACTGAATGTGTGTTCACACATAACAATGCACATCTCTTGTTAATCATTAGTCTCTGGACTAGGATTTTTATAAAGCATTTGGAGTAAACTTTGATGATGGCTTTGTAAAGGCGTGGGATTGTCACAGGCATTTATTTATTTATTATGGCACTGAAATATGCCATACTTTTGACTATGAAGTTCTCAGAGTGCTTTGCAACTGAGCTTCAAAATATGCATACAATGTGGTGTGTATTAAAGGGAGAGTGTTCTTAAAAGAATAATACTGTTTTAGAAAACTCAGTTGCTATTGTTGAATTAAAAAATCTGCCCCCTGTTTCCCCTAACAAATTAGTCCATGTCTTGGCTCAAAGTGGATTTTGAATCCCTTGTGCCTCTCTTAATTCTCCCCCACCCTTGTGGCGTTCTCCTTCAATTGCTGCTGTCCCACACTTCCTAAATCCGGATATTCCCTAGCTCTCCTATGGATTTTCAAAGTACAAGGACTCTCTAGGTTTAGGGAGAAGGAAGTATGGGACAACAGTAGTTGGAGGAGAATGCTGCATGGATGAGGAAGAATTAAAAGAGGCATAAGGAGTTCAAAATCCACATTAAGATATGGTAGGGGCAGGCCCAAATGCTTCCAGTGGTATACCATTCCAGACTATTCTTCTTGCTTGTGGATGTGCAGTAGAGCATCACTGTTCTCAATGGTCACCTGAAGGTTTTGAATATAAAAAGCAGACTATAGAAATGTCAGGCACTTTGAATTTAGAGATAAAGCTAAAGGGACCCCTGACCATTAGGTCCAGTCGTGGATGACTCTGGGGTTGTGGCGATCATCTCACTTTACTGGCCAAGGGAGCCGGCGTACAGCTTCCTGGTCATGTGGCCAGCATGACTAAGCCACTTCTGGCGAACCAGAGTAGCGCACAGAAACACCGTTTACCTTCCCGCCAAAGCGGTACCTATTTATCTACTTGCACTTTGACGTGCTTTTGAACTGCTAGAGCAGGGACTGAGCAACAGGAGCTCACCCCGTCATGGGGATTTGAACCGCTGACTTTCTGATCGGCAAGTCCTAGGCTCTGTGGTTTAACCCACAGCACCACCTGCATCCCGAATTTAGAGATACTATAGCCTAAATACCAATGATTCATAGGAAGTTCCTCAACAAGGCAATTAGACACTTTTGCACCCCCCAAAAGAGCAAAATGTATGCATAATTCCACAGTGGCAGACTTGGGCTTTAAAACTTCAGTGGCGCCCTGTGTGACACCAAAATTCAGTGCCCCCCCCAGCCTCTCACCTTCACTTCTACATCATTGAGGCACCCTCTTGGCTCAGTGCCCAGTGAGACCATTGTACTCCCCTAGATCTGCCTCTGCATTCTGACTCCTCTTGAACCTGTACTATGGTTAAATAAATGACTATCTCTCAGGATGCACATGGTGGAAAGTTGCCCAATGCAGAAAATGTATCTGCAATAAAAGCTCTAAAAGCGCCCCCCAGAAGTGATAGATTATACTATTTGCCTGCTATATGAGGGGCGCAGAGCTTCTGTTGATGCAACTGTGGTATATTGCAAATATTCATGCAAAAGTGCCAGAAAGTCTTTACCAGTCCTGATTATGCCTCTCATTTCTATTGAAAGCAATGACAGCTGGCTTTAGAAAATTTTAATTAGAACCTGGAATACATTAACTATGGCTAATTATCACTGTGCTATGAAAATGTGCTGTTCTCATAGGCAGAAGATAATATCAGGTTATGATACCATTAATACCTGGCTAGAGTGTAGTCCTTAACCACTGACTGTTGCTGCTGGAGAGGGAAGGATATAGTGGATATGTTCACATGCTGGCCACTGCAAAGGCCTCCACTGTGGCTGCAGAAAGTGTGGTGGATGATATGCTACTATGATAGCGTTTCTGCTAGTGTAGTGTCCCAAACTGGAACATTATAGGGATGAGGTGGGGTGCAGCGGAGCCAAGCCGAGCACAGGATTAGGCACAGGAAGCTGCCTTATACTGACTCAAATATTGGACCACCTAACTCAGTACTGTCTACACCTGGAGTGGGTAACTGGATCTGCCTGGTGGGACAAATCTCCCCACTCCCCGCTAGGGTCAACATTGACAGGTGGGTGAGACCATTCATCTGTCAATCACCTGACACCATAATGCTGTAAGGTGGTTGATACCTGTCTATGTTCAAAGGAGGTAGCTGTAACTGCCAATCAACTGATTGTCGGTTATGGTGACCTCCTTTGAGGACACGTTTTCAGTACCAATCATCTGATCGGCGCTAGAAGTGTGCCCACAAGTAAACTCCCTGTAACCAACAGTCAGCAGATTATCGGTTACATGGAACTCGGAAGCCTCTGCAGAGGGCGAAATTCTCCTAAAAATGAAGCATTTCCCCCTTTTCAGAGAAAGCTGTTGAATACAGAGTGGTTTCTCAAGAGAGAGAAAATGCTCTTTTAATAAATGGAGCACTGCTTTATTCCCAGAAAAAAGATAAATGTATTCAATGAATTGGAGGAAGCACTTTGAATAAATTCATCTTCTTCTATAAAGAAAACAATTATCAGTTTTTTAAAGGTGTATTTTTTCATTCTCCTGAGAAAGTGGATTGGATTTAAATCACTGGAGCAAGTGCTTTGAATCCAAGCTGTTTCCTCTAGCCATGTCAGCTGCTAAGGGGCCTCCTGAGCTCCTTTGGCACTAAGGAATTGCCTTCCACCCTGGCCAGTAAGGGCTTTCATACCCTCCAACATTTCTCTGATGAAAATAGGGACGTAGCATTCCATAATGATAATTTTACTATTGATACCTCACACATCTTACTGTGTTGCCCCAGCCACTCTGGGCAGCTTCTAACACATATAAAAACATAATAAAACATTAAACATAAAAACCTTCCCTATAAAGGATTGCCTTCAGATGGCTTAGGGGTCAGATAACGCCATACCCTCCAACATTTCTCAAATGAAAATAAGGACATCCTAAGGAAAAGTAGGACATTCCAGGATCAAATCAGAAACTGGGATGCCTTCTCTAAATCAGGGGCATCCCTGGAAAATAGGGACACATGGAGGGTCTGGGCTTTGAATGTGGCAGTTCTGCCCTGCCTTGTCCCACTTCTCCCAGCCAGAGATTAAAATTGCTCTGCCAAAAGCAATCTTATACAGTACCTGGGAACAAGCCCCACTGAACTCAGTGAGACTTACTTCTTTCATATATAGGATTGCACTTTCAGAGAAATATAAGAAAAGAATCAAGAGAAAAATAAATGAACTAGCACTGTTTCATATTTACACTTCAGTCAGTTTTGACTTCTGGGCTCCTGGTGCCTTGCTCTTCAAAAAAATCTCTTTGTAAGATTGTAATATGAAAATCCATATAGCTCAAGTGAAAGAGCTAACTATATAATGTCTTAATGAACACGTAAATGAGTAGTACATTACTAATGGCAATTTTTAAGTCATTCCAGAAGCAGAGTGAGTTCTCTTAATTTTCTTTAAGCAACACTGACAGGGCATTAATCTCTTGATGAGCTGCTTTATAAAATATTACATTCAGTGTACTGCTCATACAATTATTATATTATATTGATTTTCTCTATGAAAAGAATGATAGAGTAGGATTACCATATTTTCAACTGGCCTTGTATCTGTGCCTTTAATAGCAACCTAATGCAGCAATGAAGTACGTGAAGCCTTTAAAGGGCATGGGAAAAAGTAGTCATGAAGACTACACCTTTACTTCTTTCTTTCCATGGGTCAACTCTGGTATCCCAGCAGCCAGTGACCTACCAGGTCCCCCTTTCCTACCTATTTATGCTTATGTTTTTTCAGTCGTTCATCATCTTATGACAATGGCAACAGACTTATCCACAGGCTGGGCAGCATTTCACCTTTCCCCCATTTATTTTAATCCTTCCCATTGTTTAGAGACAACAGGAGACTCGGAGCCCATTGATGCCCCCATCTTGGTTTCCCCACAGTGTACTTGAAATTATTGTGCTGTGTCATGATTGGCTACTACCTCAATGGTGTGCATATTCCTAGCGTTGCAGCATGGCTGGCTGCTGAACTAGTTAAAATTTCATCTTCTGATGTGGTCAGGCTGGTGCTGGGAGACTTGGAGTCACATACAGTTGCTTGGACTCTCCACTTTCTCTGCTTCTGGTGTTTTCGCTTATCCTATACCTTTTGTTGGTATAGCCTCCCTCTGCTCTGGGGAGACAGAGCTCTGAGTGAGCATACAATTTTGATTAAACTCTGCATCTGCCCTCCCCAGTTTTGTTGATTCTCCTTTTGCACTGGCCATTTACCACTAGCAAAGCAGTTACTGCAGTGCAATGGTAACACAGAATGTTGGCATAAACCTAGTATGCTGATCTCATATTCTTTTCTGCTGGATTTAGTAGAGAAGCTGTTTCTACCTAAGGCAGCAACTTAGACGACTGTCAGCATGCTTCTGTCCTTTAGAACAAGGGTAGAGAGTCTGAGGCCTGGGGGTCAAATGCAGCCCTTCCTTTCCCCCATCATGTGTCTCTTGGGGCTCTCTCCAGCCACAGTCCTCGCCAGCCCTGCTTTACACCCTCCATGAATGTTTTTGCCGGCTGGAATGCTGCCTTCAACTCTAATAATGTCTCTTGGTTGCCTGGGTGCAGAACACCAAGGAGTGTATGAGTGTATACACAAAATAGCCTACTGTACAAAGGTAAAATTTACATTTGTTGCTCCACTCACTTATACCTCTTTCACCAACCCACCACTGACATGCAGTCCAGCAATATTCAGTGCAACTATTGTCTTTTCCTTGAGTCCTTAATGAAATGAACTGGAAACAGGGGAACTGGCGTGCTCTGACAATATCATAGAAGTAGCTCAATGGCCAGAAGCCTAAAATGACCTCTTGGTTGCTAAGTTGGTTTAGCAACCAGTGAAGCAAGCCATCTCATAGGGGGAGAAACAGATTTCCTTCATTCTAGCAACATTTCACTAGCCAATGGGAGAGTGTCACAGACAAGTTCCAAAGTCACAGCTACAGAACTGGATGCCTGTTTGCAGGGATTTGAAAGGATTATGTAGGTTTTAAAAGGGCCTTTTCTGAAGGCAAACAGCTTGAAGCAGCTCTAATTATATTATCTGTATGACAGAAAGGGTGAGGATCAACTGTAAATCCTTTCATATATTGAATTACTTATATATTTATAAACTGTTGGAAGTGAAGTAAAACAAAAACCCCAAAGCGAATTTCCATCTACATAGCTTTTCTGCTGCACTACTTATTGTGTAATATTAAGTGGGCCATATATTTTCTACTAGGTAACTGCCTACTAGTTTGTCAGGAGTGCTGTGGAGTATTGTGGTGTCCTTAACCAATCTTCCTTATCCAGCTTGAGCATTTATTGCACTGCACTTTACATCAGGAGTGAGATTGACAGGCATCCGTAATAACAAATGCTTCTGAAAAGTCATGCTAACTAGGCTCAGCCAAGACGTAGCCTCCCTCCTTGCTTGCACTTTGAAAGGGGATTCTGAAGATGCCTATGGGCAAAAAAGATAGCTTGATGTCATTTTGATATCAGGTAACTGACAGGTGGGTATCACTCTGCCCACCTGCCAAACCTGGATCGTGAGGAGTCGTGGGGGGTGGGTAATAATCTGGCCTGTAAATCAGCTCTATCACCCCACCCCTGTTCTAGATAAATGGGAGTAAGGAAATTTCTGATAACTAGAAGTGCATAAACACCCTAACTGAAAGAAAACACAGGTCTTACAGTTAATAGAAGGGTTGAAGAAAGTTACATCGCTTACCCCATACATTAAGTTCTTCAGAGGCAAATAGCCTTCACAAAGAGGCTGATAAAAATGTTCAGCTGTACAAGGTTGCAATCTTAGACATCTTAATCTGGATCTAAGTTCCACTGAAATCAGTGCAAACCTATTTCCAAGCAATGGCTAGGAGTCAAATAACTTCTTTTAAAATTTCACTAGCAAACCACTATGCCATAGTTCCAACGCACCTCATTATCAATGCCATCAGAGCCCTACTGGTCCAGCAGAATGACCAGGAGGCTCTCCAAATGCAGCACGGCTGGCTGACCACATTTTTAAGCAAGTGAATCAATACACATGGCCAGCTAATGAGAGAGACATCATAAGAGTCCAGAGTCTAAAGGAATCTCACTGCACGACTGACACCTCAGTTTCAAAAGCGGTTTGCGGTGTAGCAGTGGAGAAAACTGTTTTAGGCCCACCTAAACCCACAGAAATAATTTGGCATGATATGTGTTAATTTGGGACAGGGGTGTAAGTTGTCATACCACTGTGGGATTTATACAACTGGGGCTACAAATACATTTCTACATCCTGGAAACAACTGAAATTATTTACCAGAAAAAAGCATTTGCAAGTCCCCTCTCTAGACAGCAGAGGTCTCCCTAACTCTGCCCTTTTTATTAGTTCCTCGGTATATTTTCAACATTTCTCTTTTCATTCCACCTGAAATTTTGTTCCTCAATGAAACATGTCTATGGGGAAACAATATACTCTTAAAAAAAAATATATTGGTATATTCATATTGTTTTTATCCTGATAAGCACCAGTATAACCACCATTATTTCTTGACATGTATTTTGCAAGTGTTTCTGGTATAAGAATTTATACATTTGCTAAATTGTGAGTTTGCAGAGAGGAGTGTTGAAAATTAGCTAGTTTGCTGAAAAAACAGGGCTGAAAAACCTGTGACCATGCAGATGTTTTTGGACTTGAACTCCCATCAGCCCCAGCCAGCACAACCAATAGTCAGGGATGATGCATGTTCTGGTGACTGGTCCAACAACACCTTGAGGGACACAGGCTCCACACCTCTAAGATAAGCCCTATGCCTTATACCACCACACCTTACAAGAGCCGTTTTCGTACATTACAGTGTAGAAGGTTCTATAGATATACTGAGGTTGAGCACTGTTTAGGGAAGGGAGTGTATTTCATCACGCACACAATAGTAAGAAAATTCAGCTCCCACAGCACAGGGTGACCTACATCTGTGTCACTTTCACCATTCAATCTCTCTTATTCCCTCTGAACCCTTAACTTACCACTGACCCAGAAACTGTGGGGTGCAGGCATAGTACAAACACACATGAATGTAACAAAGGCATTTACATTTATATGCCACATTACATGATTTAAGTGCACACGCTTATCTGGTTACTTTAAAATCATATTGCTAGGTTTAAACGTGTACATACTATGTTAACTTGTTCCTGACTCTTTAAATATCAAACGCTTATATTCAACTATTAATGTTAAACTAAGACACCTTCAAAGAAGCAGTTAATTACTCTATTAAAACCCTTTAGCCAAATAGCTTTTTTATTCTCTCCACCCATTAAGCCTCACTAGCACTGTAACAGAGCTCAGCATCTTTTTCCAACCCTTTACTAACCTATTGAAGCACAGGATTGTCCTGCTGTACTGCCCTAGAAATCTTCCCTCTGGTACTCCATAGTGGTATAATGGAATGGGGAACCTCAGGCTTGGGGGCAAATGGGACAGGTGTGTAAGTGTGTGTAGAAACTAGCCTACTGAAAAAAAGGTAAAATTAGCATTTACTGCTTTGTACGCTTTTACCTCTGGTCCTAGCCACCACTGGCATGTGGCCCTTGGAAGGTGGCCCAGAGGGGGGCCCTTGGTCAGAAAAAGGTACCCATCTCTTGTATTGCAACATCATGGAAGACCACTGTGATTTCAATAAGGGTTTAGGCGGTGCCTAACAATTGCTCCTCCCATGCCAAATTCATGCCTAGGTATGGGCCTGAATCCTCCAAGGAGTTAATTCCATCTCTTGTAGGCAGCATTGCCATGTAGAAGTTATGCCAAGAGAGTGTACAGTCTGAGAGTGTCATAGGAACCCTCTTAGTACTGGATAGGGGCTGCGTGCCAACCATTGAAGTCCATCTGGTCCTAGTCCATTCAGGTGACCACATGATTATTGGGGATACTCTCCTGGCCTTGCAAGAACATCCTCAAGGTCATGTGAATGTAAACCAAGGAACAGGCTAATTACTTGAGCATCAATTTACTTGAGCAGCATAGTAAGGCAGTACATAAAGGAAAGACGCAACCTGTTTCTGGAAAGAGAATCCCATCACAGTGCTTGAGCCAGTCTAAGTGTTGCATCTCGGCTGTCAGGAGTCTAACCCTGCTGCCACATAGAGGCAACTGAAAAGGGCCTCAGGCTTACCTGTTTTGCTTTGTTTATTCTTCTTATCCTACGAATAAAATCTGCATAAGGAACAAACTTCGCATTTGTTCTCTAGTCTCCTCTAGCTAGTTTCTTGCAATGCTTCCTTCAAAAGTGCCACAGCATTCAGTTTGACCCAACTGTCTGTAGGGTTGCAGCCCTTGGTCATGATGTTGACCAACCTTGCCATGTTGTTGCGACAATTAAAGGTGAGGCAAAGCACTGTGGAGAGTAGGAAATAAATATGAGCGACTCAGCAAAGTGGTTTCAGCGTTGGTCCTTCTCACCATGTTCTTGTGACGATTAAAGGTGAGGCAAAGCCCTCTGGGAGAAGAGTGGGAAATAAATGTGATTACAGCCTCGGACTAGGACCCAGACTAGGTTTCAAATCTCCCCTCAGCCACGAAGCTCCTTGGGTAACCTTAAGTCAGTCATTCACTATCTCTTTCACCTAAGCAGGTTGTAGTAGTGAAGATACCATGAAAAGAAGGAGGGGAAAACCACGTCCGCTACCTCGACCTCACTACAGGAAATGTGGGAGACAAATGCAGTTACAAAATAGGAACAAGCATTTGTCGCTTCAGAGCATGGCAGTGGGAGGTTCCTTCGTTTCCTTTGTCGGTGAACAACCCCTGACACACGTCGTTCTGTCTTAAAAAGTGTTTCCTCAGGTTGCGGAAAGATGTCTTGTGACTGGAGCGGGAGGTGCTTATGACGCAGCCCTGGGAAAGAAGCGGCGTTTGGGACGTGTTTGTTTGCAGCCGGTGCCGCTCTGCTCTCTTATGAATTAAAGCCTTCATTCAGGCCCACGACTTGAGGGACGGGGGGGGGGCGGGGAGAGAGAGAGGGAGAGAAGGGACTAGCGATGGGAGGTGTCTGCCCCTGTCATCCCTGTTTACTACTCCGCCCTGCGGAAGCAGGCCGGCGAAGGCGAAGAGACTCCGCCCCCACAGCCGATGGAAGCGTCTGCCGATGTCTCCCTCCGCTTATTGGCTGCCTCGCGAAGGGCCGTCCGCTTTCGTTTGCTGTGATTCGATAGCTGGCTGGGCCGTCTCTCTCCCCTTAAGCCCGCCGTCTCCCTCCTGCCTCCCACCCCCCCCTACCCCGCCGGTTGTTTTCATGGAGCAAAGCGCGTGCGCTGCCGGCCGGGCGAAGGAGAAGCTGCGCAGTCGCAGTTGGCCGCTGTTGAACTAGGCGAGGGTTGGGGTCCGAGGGCAACCTGGGCAGGTGGGGGAGAGGTGAGTAGGCGCGCGCTTCCTTTGCCTGGGGACCTGAGCGGGAGGCGGGGCTCCCTGCTTGCGGGTTGGGAGGGCGAGACGACCGGTGGGTGGAGGGGATGTGCTGGCAGGGGGAGGGTTTCCTCCTCCCAGGCTCCGCTTTCAGGATGCAGCATCTAATCTGGTTTTTGGGGGGATTGCTGGGTGGTGCTTTTTCTTCTTCTTCTTCTGGGGAGTGCGCAAGAGAAAGCTCTGGAGCGCTGGGTTCTCCGCCTTTCCGGTAGCAGCGACGTTGCCTCCTACCGAGGCGTTGTGGGTGGAATGAAAATGAACAAGCCTCTCTCAAATGCCAGCCTTGCTTATGAGGGACCCAACATCCCCTGACGTTAATAATCGCCATCCATTTCTTGTATAAGGATGGCTCTCTCTCCTTTCACCTGCCTGGCAATAGGGAACGCAACCCTGTAGAGCAGAAATATACAGCATTAAAACTATGAGTTTCTTCGAAGATGTGCATGTGAAATGTTATGGTACTATACGGACGCTGTGAGTGAGCTTAAAGACAACATACAGCGTGAGTCTTTTAAAAGAGGCCCCGTGGAACATGTGTACTCTGTATCCACCGGGCCTCTTTTAAAGAACTCACCCTGTACAAAATTACATTGCACCCAGTAGTGTGGGACCCTAGACCACCACCTGAAGTTAACATTCAACAAGCTTGAAATTCGACATAAATCATTCTTGTTTTTCATTCAGCTGTTTCATTCAACTGTTACTGCTGATGGCTGTAGTATAATTTGGTTAAAATAGTACATTAATAGAAGCTAAATCGATATGCATAACTTAAGAGATTATTAATAAAACAAATTGCATACTGCCTTTCATTTCAGGGAAACACCAAGATGGCTTTCAGAACAGTTAAACATCAACAACATATAAGAGCCACATGTTTTATGGATTATTTCAATGTTTTAATTTTTTGTAAACATTTAGAAGCTTTATTGCAATCAAACAGTATAAAAACGTAAATAGGCTTGAGTCAATGAAAGTCAATGAAGCATCCTATCAGTTATAGGAACCAGAGATGCCAAGAGCCAGTATTAATAGTCCAAGAAAACTTGGATGGAGAGGTATGTTTTAAATTGCTGGCAGAAGTAACCAACAGTCACTCAACAGATGCCTACCTGATCAGTTATTAACAAAGATGCTCAAAGCATATATCACATTGCAAAGTGTGTCCCAAGAATGTTGAAATAGGTTGGTGCAGTTGATATTGGTGTGCAAAATGTGGCAGATTTGGCTGCTGCTGGAAAAATAACTGTTGGGTCTTCCTTAGGAATATTGTTTTGCTTCCTTTTTCTGGAAAAGTTCAATTTTACTACTTTTTTTTAAAGAAGACAAAAGCAGATTTGTCTATTTTCACAGCAATGTTTTGTTGAAGTTTAGATAACAAATGCTACCCTTCTAAAACATTCAACTATAAAACCTGGTTCTGCATTTGTACATACCGTTGACAAAATTTTATCTTCTTTAAGCAGAGTACATTTCTGAAGTACAAGATTCACCAGTGGATTGGATCTGTTCAACAATGATGAATGCGGATATGGATGGTATAAAGCATTTTTTCAACTTAATGTTTTCCCTCTTGTGTATTGTAATACTGTACTTGGCTGCACTAAAGAGCATCTCTTTTTTACAGCTGTTGAGGCTGAAAATCAAGTGGAATTGGAAGAAAAAACACGACTTATTAATCAAGTTTTGGAACTCCAGCATACACTTGAAGGTTAGTTTCTTAATTCAGAAGGTTAACCTATCTACATGCAGAATTACTTTAAGGATGAAACTTATCATTGATACAGGCTGCAGTTTTGATTGAGCTAAGATGATGTTCCTGCAAATTCTGTTAAATGTGGTGGGGCATAGAACCAACAAGGGGTTTCACATTGTGACTATGGGTGCAGTGCATTTTGTTCCCTCCCTTGCCATTTATACTATAGTGTGCCTTAGCATTCTATATTTTGCTCAGCATGTACATGAAACTGTTGAGTAAGGTCATCTGGGGTTTTGGAACACAGTATCATCAGTAAGCTGATGTCTCTCAGCTCTATTTCTTGTTTTCATTAAATTCAGATGAAGCTGTGGAAGTGTGAATGGTCTAGATGATGGTAATTCCTGATAAGTTGCCAATGCTGTTGGTTAGTGGGATCAACTGTGTCAGGGCAGGTTTTGGACCGGGTTTGTAGCCTAGGGATGTTATTAGACCCAACCCATTTTTAAAGGGGCCTGAATGGCCTCTTTAGACATGAAGCGCTTTTCGTCTACTAACACTGATATTTATCTACTAGCACTGATACGCTGGCTACAGCCTTTCCTAGACAGAGATAGATTGACCACAGTTGTTCATGCTCTAATAATGTTCCATTTAAATAATTGCAATGCATGTGGCACCCTGACTCTGGAATACTTTTCCTAGGAGGCTTGCTTGGGGCAGGGACTAAATTTGACACTGGGTTACTGCGTGTTTTAAGAACATTTTATTGGAAAGCATTGGATAAACTTTCACTATACAGAATGTCTTTATAATGGGCTTTTCTTTTCATGTGACTATTTCTACCATTTAGTTAAAACTCAGAGTAGAGCAGATGTTGTGATTTGCTTCTAAAATTCACCTTGTCCTTCCAGATCTGTCTGCAAGAGTAGATGCTGTTAAAGAAGAAAATCTGAAACTGAAATCAGAAAATCAAGTTCTTGGACAATATATAGAAAATCTCATGTCTGCCTCTAGTGTTTTTCAGACTACTGACACAAAAAGCAAACGAAAGTAAGGCACTGGTAACCAAACTGTAACATTGTATTTGCTGCTGCTTTTGTTTAATTTTAAAATTGCATATGGCTACATGACTTAAGTTAGTTTGTAGCATCATTGAATATTTGAAGATTTATTGGCAGTGCTAGACAATTTTAAATGAACAACTGGGCAGTGCAAGTCTATCGTGTTAGCTTTCAACAATGTGCAGAGATAGTGTAGAGGAAATATTTATTACACAGTTTGAAGGCAAGAGTTTTCAACTCGGCTTTTATGTTAGTCAAAACATGTCATAAGCTGCCAAGTACTTTAGATATCTTAATTTTTACAGTGGTACTACTGTTCACTAGCAGAATAATACAGTGTTGTGTAGAGTGATGTGAAAATCCTTATTTGGAATGAGTTATTTGCATGACTTTCCCTGGGCTCCAAAAAAGTTGTAACACTCCTCATCCTTCATCTCCTCAATGGCGTTCTACATTCTTCTAGATAAGACCACAAAAGCTTAGCTTTTAAATATTACTTTGAAAGCAAGTGAAGGATTTAATATTATTACATACCAGCAATTGCTTACAAAATTGTGAATGGTTGAAAAACCACTGCAATACCTGCATAACTTTTCAGAACTGATAAGTTAACATTAGGAAAACACACCCTGCTTTAAATTATATTGCAAGGAAAGGGAGTCACATCTTGGCCTTCATTGTTTTGCAATCTCTTAAAAGTGGCCTCCCCTATTTACAAAATAGCGAGTAGCATGGTAATTTAACTGCCAGATGTAATGGTCATTAGTGGTACAAGCTCAACAGAAGTATCTTTGTGAACAATTAGTAGGTATTTAAGAATTTTCACTAAACATGGATGCAGTCTATAGTTCTTTTTCTGCATAATCCTCATTAACTGCTGCTAGCCTTTAGCTGACACAGAATGTTCAGCCTTTCAGGATTAGAATACTTGGGGTTTTCAAAGCATGAAGTGTGCCTTTGAAATATTAAAGAAATACTAGCAGTTGTTGGAGAAGGCACCAAGTTACTCTCAACCTATGACATAGCCATTCATTCTGCATAGGCTCAACAAGGCTTACTTGGATATGCCAACGTAGTGGGATGAGCAAGCGAATCAATCACTATCATGTATGCATAGCAGCAGTCTCATGTCTGTGAATACACATTACATTAAGTGGATAAATTATGACAACTTCATACTTTTGATAAAATGTTGCTGTTGCCAGACATCACATGTTGACAGATTAGCTAGTTCAGCTGGTAGGGGACAGGACTATGTGGAATAAAGCAGTTTCTACTTAGGTCAGTTCTAGCTTTGTTTGGAATCTTATTGCTGCTTCCTGACTTCTGGTTTAAGGGAAGATTTCATTTCTTACCTAAGCAACAGGTCACTTTTCTCTTTGTGGGGAGGCTGGCATATTGTCTGAGATTATATGTCCAATAGAAGTCTGAGCTCATCACAGAATAATTCTTACCTTCAGGATTCACTGTTATATAGCACAAGCTAGTAGTGTCTTTGCATTCCAGCTGTCAGTATTATAAACAATGGAACCTAATTTGAGGCATTAGATTCCAACTAAAACATCCCCATCACTGGACATACTTTAATAGACAAAAGTAAATTAAAGCTTTCTCTGGCATAACAAGGGTTTAGAATCTAGAGAGTGTAAAAACATTCCTAAAACGAGTGTAGTGCAAGATCAAGGCAAGATAAATATAAACAGATGAGTGTGATGTCCACTCTAGGGAAGTGGCTTTCCAACTTGGCATTTACACATTGACTTGTTTGCCAAATAACCTTTGTGTATCTGACATAGAAATTGTTTTGGAGAGCATTATGGGACATGTTTCATGGCGCATAACCAAGCCTAGCTTGTGCTTGAGTCAAGCACTCCATATAAGCTACCTGTGACACACCTCTGTAGCTGTGCATTGTAGAACCGGTAAACTGTCTTTTAAAGAAACTTGTCCGCATTATGGCTTTTCTCATTGAGGAATCTGTGGCTGTTAGAACATAATTTGGAACACACCGTTCTACAGCCCTACCTAAATTGTGAACTCTTTCTTTAGGTGGCATGTGCCTGTTACAATTTAGCCTTGAAGAGTGCCAAGGCTGGTGGTTTTAGTATTAGGGTGGGTTGTAAACCAACTGAACTAATGCAGATCACCCTAATTTCAGCTCAGAATTTACTTCCTCTTTCCCCCAACTCCTTACTGAGTTGGCGGGGGGGGAGCTGGAATACAGATGATGGTAAGAAGCTGAGGATTATTTCCTTACTCTCAGCCATAAAGGCTTTATTCAAGCCTCTGTTGCAAATAGGTATTCTAGAAAGTGTACATTTTTTTCTTGCTACTGAATAAGCAAAAGAACCTTGGAAAATTAACTCAACAGTTCTTTTCCCTACCCATTTCTTTCAACTCAGTAGTTAAATTTGAAATGGAGAAGGGATTTGGAGAAGGTATGGAACTGGTGCAAGAGAGGATTGCTCCCATGAAGGACAGGTCAGGAAATCTGTAACTTGGTGTAGTGATTAGAGATATGATTTTTCAGAGGTTTGGATAACTTTTGGGTTCGTGTGGGACAAGGCTTTTTCAGGACTTCCCCACGAGTGGGCTTTAGACATCACAGTTATCTGCATTTCCAGAGGCAATTGAGGATTAGCAGGGACTACTAAGTAGTACACAAGCAAGGAATACACCACCTAGTCTTTTTGTAGGAACTTCTTCCCACACTAGTGTGTGGGAAGGTGCCATCTTGATATGATCGGGTAGAAGATTGTTAATGTAATGCTGAATTTTGGTGTCCTAGATAGTTGTAACTGTAAAGAACCTTACTACTGTGGCCTTTGTTAAACTAACAGTTGTGCTGTATTTCGGAACTTGTATGAAATAAAAGCTTTCAAGTTTCTCTCATTTGGTCTGTTACTAGAATCTTTTTGAAAGTTTTACTAGTTATAGCATGTGCCATAGTTGTAAAGTAGAAGTATGCTAGAAGCATTGTCCTTTCTTTGTACCATTAGTAGTTTGCATTAAGTAGGCAAAAAAATAGGCTCCTATAAGAAATCAGAGCTGCCCTTCTGTCCTCTTCTGCCCTTCAGACTTTTGGCACTTTCAGTCTGCTTTGTATTTTAGACACAAGGGACCACTTTAAACTGTTTAAACAGCTTAGTGCTATAATGCATATAGCTAGTCCATATTATTAGGTTTAATATGGAATGCCTCATTGGGATTTTGAAAATGATAGTGACAATTGCTGCCATTTAATTATAGGAATGAGTATCTTCCCCCAAGTAGTAGTATACTTACCTGATACAGCAATTCTGCTAAACTGGGGGCTCTTGCTGTTGGGGAAATATACTCACTGAATGCCCTCTGCCCACCTGATCCCTAAATGACTCATTAACATGCATTCTGCTCCTGATAGTCCAGTCTTGCATGAGGCTTCAGTTGGTCTTCCACCTATATCTTACTGGTTTCAGTAATGTTGCAGCATCAGATGTGTATTTACTGAGCCCATTCAAGCAGTTAAGTATTATTCTCGCCACTTGTCTAATGGAAAACAGACTAGTTCAAGATACCTTGCATTTGTGCCCCCTATCTGAAGAGGAAGTTTGCAGCTTGTCAGTAACCCACCACTATCATAGCACTATGAGAATAGGCTCTTAACAGGGAAGAGAAGTTGTTTCTCAGCAATAGTTGGTCTCAGTGGTTAGGATAATGAAACAAAGTAGCAACATTGCAACAATCCATATTCCTATATTCCCATATTTAAGACTGTAATCCTAATACCCATTTGCAAGCTTCATTGAATGTAATGGGATTTATGTATAGGATTGTCCCTCTAGCAGGTAAAAGTAAAGCATGCAAACGTCCAACTATTTTTGAACTACAGTAAGAATTAATGGTGTTGTATTCAGGTGATTTAGTGGTCACATCTGCACCACTTCTTAGGAAATGTAGTATCAATGGAAAATAGGATTTAAATCAATCCTCTCTGAACTTGCCTACATTGAGGTGTACATATAGCTTCTTTTAAAAAGTAACGTTTGAGGGCTATGCTGAATATAGAATGTTATGGTTACAGTATATATTTACTAGTTTACTTCTAAGGAGAGTCATTTCAGTCATTCCAAAAAATACAGGGATTAATGAGTTTAACTTAAGCAGAACAGATTATATTAAAAGTTTTATTCAGGAGGCAATATACACTTAGCAAATATTTTGTAAACGGGTTATGCCATTCTGGCTTGAAACATGAAACTATAAAAATGTGAAAAATTCTCTTGTACACCATTGTACTTGAATAGAGTTAACATTTTTTGCATTTAAATGTAAAGCATGCTATTATGACAATGCAGTTCTCTGTAAAACAAAAACAGCAGCAACTGCTAACACAAACTAACATGTGACGCACAAACTGTAGGTTGACATTGCAGTAAAGGAAAAAAAGGTTGATATAAAAAAGAGCCAAAACAGTTCTTGCATTCAGCTCAGCAAAGAGTTGGCAGTCATCTCTTCTTTCAAGGCATCCAAGTGGATGTTGCATCTACTGTTCATGCCTTTTATCTAAAGTGTAATTTGTGCTAAAGCTGGAAAATCCCATTTACATGAGGTTTAAAAAGGGTAATATTTTGAAGCCAAATCATTTCCAAATGTTTATTATCTAAACAACGTCAAATAATATTTACAATAAATCAGACATATCACCATTTTTTATTCTATGAAGTAAAGAAAACAGGTAACTTCACAAGTCGGAGCGTTTCTTCAGAATAAAGGAAAAGTCTGACAAGATTAAGATGGTCTGGAGAATGGAAACAGAGGAGTCTAAGCTGAGTTCAGTCTTTTGGTTAAGACTCAACAACTTGCATGCTGTTAGGCAAGTGAAAACTGCATGCCTATGTTCTGTAACCTGGACCTGTCAATACTAGGTGGAAACAAGTTAGTCCTTTCGTACTCTTCTTTTACGCACTGCTTTTGCCGGCCCATCACCAGATCCTGTGCTTTCATCTGCTTCTTTCATCTGCAGGGGGTGGGGATGGGGAGAGAGATGCAATCATCTTTCCAAAATATAATATAGTTCATATTCTCTACCCAAACAATGTCTAAACTGTTGAATCCACTGGAGTTAAGCACAATTAAGCTGACTGATTTCAGTGGCTTAAGGGAACTTAATTTTGCTCAGATTCAGGCCCATGTTTGCTTCTCAAAGTACTTAATTTTTAGCTTTTATGTTTGTTCTTTCTTCACATAATAAAATGGGAATATGAACACTTGAGTTTATGGATGCAGTTTCTCTTACAACTTAACACCTATATTCCTAAACCTCAGTTTCTTGAAATCAACCAGATTGCGGGGGAAGTTGAAGCTTCCCTCCCAAACTCAATACTATGTATCTGCATGAAAACCTTTCCAAATTGATTTATCTGCTGAGGAACTCCTACTTGATGATCCTAGAATGCTTGCACACAAATGCCTTGTGAGGCTAGCTATGGATGCTGGAGTTCATGTTTGAAGCCACAGCCTCAACCCAATTTCTGACCTGATAGAATATGCCATATAGAGATAGTGATCTCCAAATAAGATCAATAGCAAACTGCTTGTATTAAAAAAAAAATCAAAATTATGAGACTATGACAATTATACAAATACCCAGCAAAACAATTTAGGATGCATTAAATACAAGGGAAAATATTTGAATTTCTGCACTGAAGTGACAAGATCTCACAAGCCAGAACAATTCTATATTCCACTGTATTATTGTTTTATGTTTATTTCAACAATTTATATACTGCTTAACACAGTTTAAAAAACCCAATTAAAATTATCAGTGAAATCAGAAAAGTCTAATTTAAATGCCTGCTTAAATAAATTCAAAGTCTTCACCTAGTGCCTGAAGTTCAACAGGGAAGGGGCTTGTGATCTCAGCTGGGAAGAAGTTCCACAAGATTGGAAATAAAATGCCCTGTATTAGTACCATGGGGGAAAGTTGCCATTATACCCCATGTTTTGACACAGCTGCAACATGGAATAATCTTTGTATATTATCTCATTCCTGGAAACCTCACCTCATCTTCTTCAGAGCCAGATTTATTTGATTTATTAACTTCTTCCTCCTGACTTCCTTCACCACCTTCATTTTCTTCCTCATAATCCTCTTCATCTTCACCACCTTCATATTCTAAGACACAAGTCGGTTATTCAGTTTAGCTCTCTAAAGGCTAAAATTCAGCAATGACACAGAAGACCATACAGGTTGGATAAACCCTTAACAATAAGAAGAAACCACAGGGCCTGTGTTGGTGAAGCATGTCAACAATGGAGCTGCACAGCGCTGCAAATTGTATATCCATGATGGGCAAGTTATTGGAATAGATCAATGTGAATTCTTAACAAGCACCTAAGTATCTCTCTCATTTTCATGAAGACGTAGGAAAAATGTTGAGTTTAAATTACAATACATTTTCAAATTAAGAATGTTATTGGGTAACATTATGAATTAAGAAAATAATAACAGTAACATTCAGAAAAGCATACAAACACCTTTCCAGCAACATCCAATGGTAGTAGCATATATTCAGAGCACACCCATAACCACTGAAGTAGACATTGATTTCAATGGGTCTACTCTGAGTATGACTGATGTCATCTATCACCCTTTAGTAAATATTTAGGGATAAATCTTTGTATTGTTGTGGGTTGAAACCCAGTTCTCTCAAGTTGTTCTTGCTGAAATGTCTTACTATTTCTATCCCCCACCATTTCCACCTATAGCAAGTAGAAAAAATGGATTTGAATTAGGAAAAAACCCTAACCCTAATCATAATTTAATGTAGTGAAAGAAAAAGAGTATCTCCAAAATATGTAGAAGTTCAACATCTTACTTTCTTTATACAAGATGCTAGAAATTCCAGCATAAAACTTACAAAGTGATCCAATCATTAAAAGGGAGACAGAAGACAGACCAAGAGTTCCACTCCCATGTTCCCAACACCATGCTCTGTGCATTCACAATTCCATACATGGGATTGCAAAGAGGTCACAGGAAAGCAAACAAAGAATATTTGAGGTTCTGCTTCAGCAGCAAGGTTTCCTTTGCTTGGAACCAGGGGTAGGTACCTGTCATTCATTGCAAAGCCCTCAGTGGAAAAACTCCATTAGTGTCTTAGATGCTGAGAAGTATTTAGTCACTAAGATGAAAATCAACATTTATTTTTTACTGAGGATTCTAAAGTAGGTTGTATTAGGCATTTCTCAAAATGGGAAGCTAGGGTATAAATGTAACAAAGACAAAAAAAAGAGATTGTATCAGCCCCAGCCAGCATGGCCAATGTTCAAGGATGATGGGAACAGCAGTCCAGCAACACCTGTCTGACTGGCAATTTCCTACCCCAATGTAGTTGTTGACATATTATTTAGCTGACCAATTTAAATATTGGTATGACAAATTGCTATTAAGAGAACAAGCTATCATTCTGTAATTTATAAGTAAGATAAGCAAAGAATTAAACATTTTTTAAAAATCAAACAAAGAGCTAAAATACTCCCAAATATGAAAATAAATTGTGTCATATGATTAGGGAGAAAAAACACAGAATATTCAATTCCAAGAGTCTGGAATGCAGGAAAGAACTAACTAAGAAAGCAGTTAGCTACAAGACACAACTACACAATTTTGATCTTGCTGAAACAAAAATACACTTATCTTGAGTGCTGTAAAGTATAGACAGCAATTTCAGGCAGCAAAACAAAGTGCTATGAACTGCATTGTTTTTGTTTTTTTCATTTAGCTACCATTTTTCAGCATTGATCACTACAGTTTTTTAAATAGGCTAAAATCCCTTACCGTCTTCACCACCATTTTCATTTGGTTTTTCTAGGTCTTCATCTTTCCTTTGTACCTCTTGTTCCAGTCCTCCTTTTGTAAGTGGCTTGGCTATATCAGTTTTTTTGTAGTCCATATCGTCATCTATTTTCTAAAATAGAAGGACAATCATGCAAAAAAAGCTGATAGCCCCCCTTTTTTTAACATCCACCCACCATTGAGGCAAGCCTCAGAACTTCATCTTCCCTCTCACCCCAATGGATTTTTTGAGTGAAAAAATATTTGGATAGAAAGCGCATTAAGCATCATGCAAAAAATGAGGATATCTGATTAGTTTCTCCTGTACCTTGGATGGCCAGCAGAATAGTACACCCAATCCTATAGGTAGTGCTAATGTCAAGATGTAAATAACCCAAAGCCATGGACGTTCTTCCGCAGCAGTCACCAGCTGACTAAACATACCAGGCTGGATGGAAGAAAAGAAAACACACATTATAGAGCTTGCCAAGTCTTGCCATAAGGTATTTTTCCGAAACAGCATGAAGGAAACAGCAACCAAGGAAGGAAACTAACAGGTGAGGGGACATAGAGAAAAGAAGCTGTTCAGGGCCCTGGAGATCTGCAAACAGCCCTGAGTAACTACACTGCACTAAGAGCCTTAGCTGGAAGTAGCCAAACTGAATGTCATGTGACTACCGTAAAACAGACCCGCAAACACAGTCAAGGGACCTAACAATGGGAACACCACATAAGGCAGATAATGGAGCATGTGAGCAGGTTTCTAGCATGGGCATCTGCACAGTTCTATCATGTACTTTTATTAAGTTATTGGGGGTTTTACATTTTTCATACAAACAGTAAATTAAACCATAAAATATTCACAACCATTAAGTGTTAAGCTATGACATTATGACTCGACTTGAAAATTAGAGTTTTAGGGCTTTCTTTTCTATATTTGACCCTGCCAAAATCCGCTATTATGGTTGAAAAGACCCCTTTAAAGTTCTGGCTGGAAATAGAAATAATGACTGACTGCAAAACTACTTTAGTTTAACTGGGGGGGGGGGGGATGTTTTATTGATACAGTGGTACCTTGTGTTAAGAACTTAATTCATTCTGGAGGTTCGTTCTTAACCTGAAACTGTTCTTAACTTGAAGCACAACTTTAGCTAATGGGGCCTCCTGCTGCTGCCACGCCGCCACCGCACAATTTCTGTTCTTATCCTGAAGCAAAGTTCTTAACCCGAGGTACTATTTCTGGGTCAGCGGAGTCTGTAACCTGAAGCGTCTGTAACCCGAGGTACCACTGTATTGTTCTAAAAATGTGGCCTATCACAAACATTGTAGTATATTACCATAAGATAAAAAAGAAAAAAATTCCAAATGCCTATATTGTCAGGGATGGGGAACCAATGACCCTCCAGATTTTGGGACTGCAACTCCCGTCATTCCTGACCACTTCCCATTCTTGTTGGAGTTGGTGGGAAAAGAGTCCATGAACATTGGGGGGGGCATAGTCCTCTCTTGCCTGAAATCACAGTTGCAAGTTTGCATTATGAGTGTCAGCTCCTGCGTCAACATAAAATCAACTTGGAAAAGAATGAAGGTAACATTTACATCCAGGGTCCAATGGTTCCCTGCAGTCCTTTGTCGGTTATATTTTGTACCAAAGGAAAAACAGAAGTGGTATAACCACACAATATGCTCTTGGAAGTGATACAATGACTAGGATTGATGATACAATGACATGGATTGAAACAACATGGTAGTGTTTTTCCTACTCTATTTGGGTAAGTTCCTTGGGGCAGAATGGACACCAATTAGTTTGGGAATTTCATTTTCCTTTACTTTCAATAGGAGTGAATTGGACCACTAATATTTTAATAAGTTAAATATAATTTAATGAATTGAGAAGGAGGTAAAGAGATGAAACACCCTGGGACAACTGAACCCATAACCGTTAATAATTTCATTGCATATGAGGTCATTCTGGCTTGTTAAAAATATTTACAAGTATTTCAAACACCTTCAGGTTCACAACAATCCTAATATAGGAAGGTTAAGACAAAAAGTTTTTTTGCAACACTGTGTATTTGGGCACAACAAAATATAGTAAATTCTTACTTCATTAGCACTTGCAACCAATTTTTTAAAGCCCCATCCATCCGCCGCCCATCGATCAGCAACTTCCTTTTCTGAGCAGATGATGAAGTTATCAAAGTAAATATCAGATGTCATAGACCAAAGCTCTAAGCCAACAGCACCAACAGGAGTCATTTGAAAAGGATGAGAATCTTCAAAATAATCAGGATTAGGGATTTTTTGTGGACTCCATATTCCCTGTAAGAGATAAAATAAAAACATGCCACATTAAAATAGACATTTAATATTAAATAGGCCAGCAAGGCAGGTTGATTCAGTTCTGAAAAATAATTGAAATTTCT